AATTTTTCCTTTTTGCTTTACTTCTGACTTGTGTTTGGATCCTTTCACAGAATGAAATTTTCATAAAACCTTTTTGCACTTATTTGTTAAGCTAGATGCTATTGGGCTGGCCTGATCGCTCAGTGGACTAAAGCACCTGCTTAGGCAGAGCACTGTGGCTGGGCTGGAGCCCCAGCTTGCCATGCTGGCCCCGCCCCTGCCCCCAGGGCACCCCGAGACAGCAATTGAGACTGGGAGTGGTGGGGCACTTGTAATCCCAGCACTTGGGAGGCTTAAAACAGGAGGATCACGAGGAGTCTAATCTATGTAGTGAGACCTTGTAGACCCTATCCTAAATACAGAAAAAAACTAAAGAAAGTAGGTGCTATTTACTATTTATAAAGTCAGATTTAACATATTTTGAAAACAATAATTAATATTAACAAGAATATGCATTAATGTAATTGAATATGGAAAAATATAATTTTTTGCTTTTTTTTCTGCAGGAGATAAAGATACAAAAGTTTTCTATAGTCATCCAAAATTAAAGAAATTAGAAGAAGTTGTAGTTGAACACTTCAAGTCATGGAATGGTAGGTACAGTTCAGCAGTTCTAGGGGAGATAGCTGTTGAAAGAGCCAAAGCTTGAGCTCATTCGTTTGTGCTAACACTTGTGGAGAAGATGTGGGCTTTCATTCTGTTAATGAATATTCAGAAGCTCAGAAGTTTTGCAGGGCTAGGGCCAGAGACAGTGGCAGGAAGGTTATAAGGCATCATGTGGGAAAACGCCTGGGGAAATCCCGGGGGGGGGGGGCAGCACTGTATGGTATTGGTGGTGGGGAGGTAGGCGGGGAGAGGAGCGCCCTGTGCAGGTGTCAGAGGAGGCCTGTCCCCGGAGAGGTATGTGGGTGCAGGCCTTGTGGACCTCGGAGGGAGAGTCCTTCCAGCCGGAGAGCACAGCAGATCCAAAGGCCCTGTGGCAGTGAGGTGCTGGCCGTGGTTCGGGGTCAGTCAGTAGGTCAGCTTTGAGTGAGGTAAGAGTGCTGTGAGATGCAGCCAGGTCCCAGATCATGCAGGTTTGCAGGCCAGGCCAAGCTCGGTTTTCAGTCTGTGAATGTTGTATCTTGGGAGTGCGTTACCAGAGGAAAAGAGCAGTGCAGACGCAAGCATGTGAGGGCACACATGTGTCACTTAGTGTGATGTAACCATTCCGCAGTCTATGTGTCATTTGTGCACTGTGTAGGCATATGACTTTTACATAGTCAAATATGACATGAAGAAAGAGCATAAGTATTGAGGTGCTTCTGCGACATCTAGGAGATGTCCAGTGAGCATTAGCTGAGTGTCTTGGGAAATTTTCAGTCATTGCGGGGACAAAGTATCCAGCACCCATAATCAAGGAAGGAAAGCTTGCTCACAGTTTGAGGTTTCAGTCTATACTCGGTTGGCTCCCTGGCAGAGTAGCACATGGCCGAGAGCAGCGGTTCATGGCAGCAGAAAACAGGAAAGAGCAAAGGGAAGGGCAGCAGTTGTGGCCTCTCGCCAGCCTCTCTC